TCGAGAACATCTAAAATATTTAATATTTTTTGCTTAATCTACTCCACATTGATATAAATTCCACGAAAGCTATAAATATTCAACAATCAGTGTTCCGCTATTTTTTCCTCCCAATTTTGCACTACCATATTAATCTCGTATTGATTTTCGTCGTCTCCTTTCTCAGATTTTGTTATTTTTATTAATTATATTAATAGAGAATATTATCATAAAAATATATTATAGATTTTTAAAATATATTATATTTTAGATATTAATTCTAAATTATATTACCGAATGATAATATAATATAGATATAATATTAATATATATTAATAATATAATAGATATATTTATATATATCTATTATATTTTAATACAATATTAGAAAAAAACGATCTTTCTTTAATTTAAATAAATATTTTTTATAAAAATAGAAACATATAAATTATTTTTGTATAAAATATGTTAATAATATATTATAAATATATAGATTTAAATATTATATTATATATATTGGATATATAAAATATTTAAATATAATATATATTTAATAAATATATATAATAAATATATTATTAATTTCATTAAATATATTTTTTATATATTTATATATATTAATAGATTGAATATATTTTTATATCAATTATATATTTATTAAATTAAATTATATATTTATATATTCAAATGATAATATTTCGATATATCGATTCTATATTATAATTATGAATTTTATGGAATATGATTTTATCTATAGGCAATTGAAATTTTTGTCTTAATATTGGGAATTCTTATCGGATAATCATTAAAATCTCCATTTGATATTAATAATTATATCTAACACGCATTTAAACAATTATATTGTTGTTATTATATATTTATGGGCAATATTTGAATATTATGGATGTATATTTATGATTATATTTATGATTTTTATATCTATATTTATGATTCATATATGATCCTAATAATCGAATGATGGAAATCATCCAATATCTTCCTCAATTGCTTCTCAAGGTTAGTGTTTCGAGCCATGGCTGCAATTATCCATGAGCTTGATATGATATTGGTTGCACATGCATTGGTATTTGCAGGTTGTAAATTAGAAGGGGCATTGTTCCTATGCGGCTTTATATTCCCCAAAAATAACCAATCAAGAGATGACGATGAAAAACATAATAATAAAGATAAATCGAATGAAGCAATAAATCAAAAAGATCAGAAAATTAATGAAGAAATAGGACCAGAAAAAGAGGATCATAACATTAAAGACATCGAAGAACAGGAAGAAGAAAAAATCAAATCCGAAGAAGAATTTGTAATCAAATATAATCCAATAAATGAAGACAATTATATATTTGTAAATGTGGTTACGGTTGTGTTTGTAATTATGTAATTGTGTTTAAGGTTTGTGATTGTGATTATATATTTGTGGTTGTGTGTTTATTTTTATCTATTCATTATTGTATTTGTGTAATTTGTATATTTATATTTGTATTTTATATTTTTTTTATTTATAAATTATTAATTATATATTACATATTTAAAACTTCTTAATATATATTAAATATTAATAGAAATTATTTATTTTTAATCGATAATATTAAATTATAATAGATATTGTTTATTCTTAATCGTCATTTTTTATTTTTAATAAATATTGTTGTATTTTTAATTATACTAGATAATATCGGAATTTAGTTTTTTATTTTCGATTGCAGAGATAGAAGACGTTATTTAATCGTAGTCGCAAAATCGCAATAGATATCGGGCTTTAACGGTAAATGCTAAATTACAATGCTTATTATTAGATCCCAAAAATATATTAATATCCATAATTCAATATATTCATTATATTTTACTATCAATATTCTATTAAAATAATTATTGTTTAAAATAATTCAATTTAATAATATATTTTAATATATATCTAAGATAATATATATTTATATTTTATCCAAATCGCGAAATTTATCGTCGTTATATATATATATATTAAATATATATAATTTTCGATATAACGATCTTTTAAACATATATTATCAAATATTTAAAATATCTATTTAAATATTACTAAGACATTAATAAATCGAATAATATCAATATAATATTATTACGTACATCTTAATAAAAAAAAAAAAATCGATCGGAAATTGGTTGCCCATTCGGAATACCATTTATAACGTCAAATGCGATCTGGCACTTATTATCAGATCTAGGAACGCCCATTGCGATCCGGCATTTGCTATTGAAATCCGGCAATGCCCATCGCGATCTAGCATTTGCTATTAAGATCCGGGGCTATGCATTACGATCTAGCAATTACAATTAAAGCTAGAAATACCCATTACGATCTGGCGCTTGTTATTAAAGACCAGGAATGACATCACAATCCGGCATTTGCTATTATGCCCGTTACGATCTGGTACTTGCAATTAAGATCGATAATCTAGAATTTAATACTAAAATCCGAGATATATATATATATATATATCTATATATCCATTTTAATCTATATATATATGCAAATCCAAAAAATATTCATCTATAGAGTTAAAATATGGCCCTTGTTGCCGACAATTAAGGTAAATCCACAGGATTTTACGTATTAAAATCCAACCAGACCAAGGTCTAAGGTGACTTTCTAGTTTTTCAGCGGTGCCCTAGGATTTTTCTCAAGAATCGCTTAACGTGCCCCAGAGGGTTGGGAACCAAGGAAAAACAAAGGTCCGGGCTGATCAAATCCTTAATCAAGTCCTGGGTATCTACCTTAGCTGGTCCCTCCAGTGCCCTCCCAAGCCCGCAATCTTATGTTGTATATACAGCGTGTGTTTCTATCAGCCGAGAAGAGACTGCAAGCAAATGCTGCAAAAAGTAGAATTGACGACAAACACAGCCACAGCATAAGGTTGACAAAAACTGTCCACGAAAAGCATCCTCTCCAGTACCTCTAACTTGTGAAATCCTGCGGCTTTAGTGAAATCCTGTAGTCTAACGTGTTTTTGGAATCCTGGCGCCTACATGTCTTGATACCTTGGGCAGGATTTTTCAAAGCCCCATTTCTGCTGTACGGTAATTTCCTGGGGCCCTACCTGACGTCCTTTTTTTTAAATAAAGAACCTGTTTCTTTCTGAAACCTGGTGGACTACCCCTAGGATTTCTGTATGGTGCAAGCAAGGTCTATGTTATAATCATGAATCATTTGATCATGAAATATTCTGAGGTTCGTCTTTGACGATATTTGCTGCACGGCGCCTTAGTGCATACATTTCAGACTTGATATGCTGAATCCAACATGAAACTTACAAACTTGACGTAGGTATCCAGCTGCTTCACGCCATTGTCCTTTAAGCGCTTCCGCATCTTCTTCCTTCCTTTGCACATCGGCAGCGCTGACTGTGTGACGTACTGATTCTTACGCACGGAGCGGCAACACAGCTCAGGCAATCTTGGGCTGTCGGACAAACACATAAAGGATCATAACAGTATAACCAAAAGCAGCACTGCTCTTTCTTGCCATCAAAGCAAGCAAGTTTGTGTTGCACGAAATGGGTCTGGACCCACAACAGCAATCTTTCACACCCTCCCTTTCGGAGGGTGCGTCTGGGAAAGCATTAATCATTAGCTGGCAAAGCACACTACCTGCATGGAATTGACTCTTGGCCAACTTTCAAGGTCTGGAAGGCTTTCTTCGTCTCAGAACCTCAGCTTGGTAGCTTGAGTTGTTTCTGGCAGGCACCAGCATGAATCAACAGCATGTAAGGGCCCTTCCATCGCGGGAGGCTACAGGTCTTGCCGCCCATCTGCGGAAAATAGCGTGGCACTTGTTTCTACTAGCTTCTTATTACTACCAGTAAGGCACTTGTTACTACTAGCGATGCACTTGTAATTACTAGCAAAGGAACAATGCATTTTGGCAAATACAATTTAGTGCTTCATTGCTGATTGCTGAAACACCTGAGAAGACCTGCGCAATGGCGTCCTGGTGAGGTTTCTGCGTCATTCACCCTCATGCATCCATCTTGTTCAACTTGTTTTACTACGCGCCCCTTCATTTTTCATTTCTGTCCTTTTGCTCTGGTGTCAGCATCTTTGGGAACTCGACCATTACCTCCGCCAAACTCAACTTTCGGGAAACATAAAGATCAAGCACACGGCACACGTTCTTCAAGGTGGTGCGCCTTCACATGCAAGTCACCAAAACTTGCCGGATCGTCTCGCAACGGCATGCCCTTACCTCGAATTTGCACAACCTGTGGCCCAACAGTAGAACTCCAAACATGTCAAAGTCTACATACAGAACGTGCAGTTAAATCTTGAACGCACTCACGCTTCTCATCTGCTCTTTCTGCTGAATGCTATCTTCAGAACTTCAATACCTGAAGGCCTGAAGGTGCTTGGTGACGTCCACCTGCTTCACTTCAACGCTGTGTCCTGGTCCGAAATGTTCACAGGACAAGAGTTGTTGGTACCTACAAGCCAGTGCCCTGTCATGACAGATTGGTCTGCACTTTAGCAACCCTTTCCAAACAAGTGGTTTCCAAAACGCCATTATGCACATGACATCACATGGCCGCCCCTCACCAGTCCATCCAAGTGAGTGATGGTGCGAGACCACCCAAGAAGAGATTCCTTCAGACTTATTGTCAAGTCCTCGGTGTTGGGCATTCCCTGTCATCATGACAGTTTGCTTTTGTGCTTGACGATTGCAGTGCTCACTTCATTCATGTTATATATGTTTTTGGACCTTTGTATAAATGCTTCACATGTGCCCAATCATTCACAGTTAATAAGAAAGTATGATTGCGTCTTATAGTAGATCCTTGTCAAACTCTGTACATCACCGAATCACTTTAAGTGAATTTCGGCCTCGCTTCTCTTTCTTGTGCTAATGAACCTGTGGGCTATGATAATTCTTTCTAGCCTGTTGCTGTGGAATGGGGATGGCTTGACTATGTCAGAAAGCCCGCCTTGATAGGTGGCCTTGCTGCAAAAAGCGTTAACAAACCCGACAAAACACTTCAATCCCCAGCCGAGACCGGTGCAGTGTGCAAATCGTTCCCATTCCGCTGGAACTTGGGATGCTTCCTGGCCTTGAGGCGTGCAAAATTCAACAAACATGCACTGATCGTGAACCTGCCACCCGCAAAGGACAACATAGGCGGGCAACAAGCTATGCCAGGATCAAGGAGACCGTCGGGACCACCATTTGGTTTGGGCCAATGCGCCAGGGAATGAAACACAACTTCAACATCTGTCAGAAACATCTTGCATCATCTTGCCGAACATCTCTGCACAGCATAAGCATCTAAATGCAAAGTCAGCCATCTAAAGGTTATCCAAAGGTTAAAGACCTTTCGCTGAGTGAAAGGGCTGACTTGACCTGATGGCAAAAAACCATCGGGCGGACTACTTCGAGAAGCAGGCGCATGATGAAAAGAAGGGGAATCAAAGTGGTGTGGCCCTCACGGTTCACCATCGGTAAATCTGTAGCCATTCACTTCTTGGGAAAGTCAATGCTGCCAAGTGTTGGCGATGTAATGTACGATGGTGGTACCTTGAAGTTCTGAAGCCAGGTGAACAAATTGTTATCGTTGTTGAAATCGCTCATGCTACCTGTGCTGGTATAGTGGTGTTCCTGCATCACTGGTTGTACACATAGTGAAGTGATCTACTACATTTTGATATGTTTGGCCCTAGCTGCTGCGCTGCTGGTGAAGCAGAACGCTGCCGGTGGCACAGTAGTAGATGAGATGTGTTCTCTTCACAGGCTCTTGTTAGTGCTGGTGGTGAGACCTGACTTCATTTCTGGTGTGGTGCTGGTTTGGCTTTGAGGTGAAGCGGTTGGTTGGTTCTTGCCACTGGGAAAGCGGGAGACTCTTGCCGCAGGTAGGTAGATCTGTACGGCTGGCGAGTAGTGAAAAAGAACTGTCCATGTACTGAAAACTCCCCCAACACAAATACTTCGACTTTGTTGAACGACTGTCCATGTAGTGAAGACTTGTGCAATCGGGCAATCATCTTTTAAAACAAATGAATAACAACAGTAGTAAATGACAAACGAAATGTCATAAACCTCACCGTAGCCTACAGTGCTTTGAGCTCTGTCAGGTCATCTGGCCTTGAGCTTCAGAATGACACTTCCAGGCAACATCCCTGGCCGTTCCTGAACCGCGTCAAATGCAACTGCAAACGATTGCAAGAAGTTCGGGGTGGAGTAATACCGTAGAAGAACAGTCCACCGAATTCAGCTTGGGTGTGTGGCAAACTCTCGAGCACACCATGAGCTGTTGAAGTTACGCAACTCGATCGTATTTCGGCTAAGCTGAAGCTTGACGAACCACATTTGATCGCGTTTGATCTGGTGTAGTCTCTGGCTCCCTGACATGTCGTGCAAAAGGGCGGAAAACCGAAAAGAACAAAGGAGCAAAGGGGCAAAGTTGATCTGGTTCGCCTCCGCCATCCTGGGAAAAGTGACCGTGTCGCCGCTGCTCATGCCTTTCCTCAGATGGGAGGTTCAGGATCTTGAACGAATAAAAAATCCACAGTGCCCAGTCGCGAGTGCTTGCAATGCTGGGTCTGGAGTGCAAAAAAGTGTCTCAATGTGAACATCCAAAGGCGCATCAATCTCCTTGCACTTTTCCTGGCTCTGTGCGGATCCAAGACACACATAAAGCCAAATGTTTGCATCTCATTCTTGTGGCAGGGCATCCAATGGCATTCGTACGTGTCCTCTGACCCCCTGCAACCTGATTTAAGTATCATATCTCCGAAGTTCCAGGGACAAAACATTCAATGGATTTCAATGGCTTTGTTTTGGGCTTCTTTTTTTTAAATAAGGCTCCTTTGCACAGCTACCTTGAGGCTTTGTTCACATGTCAAGTGATTGTGAGTTCGTTTCCAAGGCTTTCACCCATGATTTGCAAACAATATATTCAATCCTTGTAATTGAATCCTTGCTTGATGCCTTTTCTATCGAAGTGGAGTTAAGGAACTTTGCGGGTGATGGGGCTGCCCTCTCCAACTTGGCTCTCAGGTCGGCCCTGCGTAGTTGCGGTGAGGAAAGCAATGCAGAATTTCACGTCAAGGCGGAGGCTGCAACCAAGTTCCACCTTATAACACAAAGTATGCCTGGTCAAATCACCAACGATCACAATGGATCACCACAAATCACCAAATCAATGATCCCACAAGCACCCAAACCAAAATTTGGTTCTGCAATGTTGTGCAACCACTAGAACTTGAACCGCAACAAGTTGCCCAAAAAATAGCACCGACTTCTCGACAAATGCACCCCAGCAAGCGGCTGCATCTTGTATCGTCTTGTAAGTTTCTGCCCTTGTTGAGAAGCTTTCACCCCACAGCTCCGCTGGATCGGATCATGCTGGTCACTAAATATGTAGATCAGAAGCTTCCAAAACTATCAACACTGAAACAACTATTCAAATGTATGTGCAAATGGGAGACGGGCAAAAAACAGATGCATAGGCGTGGATATTGAAGGGATTGTGAAACTAGTATGTAGAGGGTGCATCCCATGCCGTGCTTTTGGAGGGTTGTGCGAAGGTCGTGCGACCTCGGGTGGTGTAGAGGGGATCTCCACGACGTTGTCGCTCCCGGCGGTCTTCCCACGACTGCTAGGTCTTCAGCTAGTTTCATGATAGCCGCTAGCCCAAATGAACATCCGTATCGAGGTCTGCAACTGATTAACCCGCCACGGCAGGGCTGCGTGAGGTGCGCGCTGGGTTTCTGTGGGCCAAAGTCAAGTAGAATCTCTCAACATGCATTGTAATGACTGCTGAGGTAAAGCATTTTGAAAACAAATACGGAAGTAGGGAAAGTATTACATAAAGTAAAGATTTGGAAAAGCATCAAACGCCACGTAAATGTTCTACAGCACACGTCAACCACTGCGAGACTACAATACGAGTAGAAAAAAGTAGAGACCACCACTCACAATTCACCACACCACATCAACGCATTGTACTACACAACACAGATCAGTGCACCAACGAATCCTTCATACTTTAGCTTAGCTTCAACGAGGTGTGATAGCGGGCAACATTCCAGAGGCAGTCTATCAAGACTCAGTGCTCGACTCTCTAGCGCTCTAAGAATGGTTTTGAAGATGGCCCGGCCCAGCCCTGTTTCCTCAACAACCTGTTTGTTTCGGATCTTTAGAAAAACCATGTCAACTGTCAGTACTGTTCAGCTGAATCTTCGGATATTTCCCTCAACCGCCCTGGCCCTAGCCTTGCTAGGAACTTCTTGTTGTTGCTGGGTGAGAAATGGCCCCATTTGCACCTGAACTACCTGGGCCACCACTGCGCATGCAGTGGCACGTTCCACAAACCAAAGAAGACGCATGCTCCTGGTTCAAAGCGGACATGTTCACCTGTATGCTAAGAGCTGCACTTTGATTTGATTCTTACATTTCCGGCAGCCCTGACAGCTTCAATAGTTTCCCAATTCAAAAGCACAGTGGAGGTTCTTCAAGCAAGTCAAAAGCTTTGGGGTGGTGAACATGCAACGGTCGCCCTTCACTCGTTTTCTCAGGATGCGATGACTGCCATGCGCCTTGCAATTTGGAGAAGCTGGATTCTTGCGGCATCCTCTACACACCTCAGCCGCTGTGCCTGTTTGTGCACACACCCACAACGCATGGGTGGGTGGGTTGGCAACCTCAATGTGCAAATTTCCTGGTGGGCGCAGGATCTCGCAATGCAGGTCCGCCTCGAAGTGCAACTTTCGTGGCAGGCGCGGCGCTAGGCGGACCTGGAATTTTCAGCTTTCGTGTCAGGCGCAGCGCTAGGCTTACCTGGAAGTGCAGCTTTTGTGGCAGGTGCAGTGCTAGGCGGACTTCGAGTGCAGCTTTCATGGCAGGCGCAGCGCTGGGTGGACCTGGAAGCGCAGCTTTCGTGGCAGGCGCAGCGCTAGGCGGACCCGGAAGTGCAGCTTTCGTGGCAGGCGCAGCGCAAGGCGGACCTGGAAGTGCAGCTTTTGTGGCAGGCACAGCACTTTGCGAACCTCAAACTACAGACTTTCGTTGTGTCAATCGTAAGAAAGTCTTTGGTGCATTTGCTCTCTCTCTCTCTCTCGTGTGTGTGTGTGGCTCTCATACGCACGCTATCACATGAATGGGCTTTCTTGTCTGTGCTCCCATAGCTGTGCTCGTAAATAAATAGATAAATAATGATAAATATATATTATACATATCATATGTAATTGTTGTATGAATATACATATATTATATATATACTGCATATATATATATATTCATATTGTGCTGAATGTGGGTGCTGACTTGAAAAAGACGATCCGAGAAAGGGGTAGCGTTTGGAAAGGACATGTTCTATTCTGCAAGGGGCGTATATTACAGTGTTGATTCTGTTGACCTTCAAAATCTTCAAAGAACCAGCTTTTGTGGCAGGTGCCATGCTTTTGCAAAAGAAGTGCAGAATTCGTTGCACTAGAGGGGTTGTAGGGGAGGGCGCAGCTGTATTTTGCTGGGTGTGTATATAGTGGCGTGTATATATATATATTATATATTAGGTTGAACTCCGGAGATTCCATTTTTTTCGTGACAGGCATGATGCTTTGGAAGAAGTAGGGCAGACTTCGCAGTGCTAGGGGAAGGGTGCGGGGGGCGGGCTTGTGCCGGGCCCCAGAGCAAAGCAAAAGCGTCAAAACACAAAAGCAAATTCAACGATGCACGGGGGAAAGCCAATTTAACGACGCACGGGGGCTAATTCAAAATCCAATCCTTGCAATGGTTTCGGGCAACTCGCAAAAAGTCAAGAAAAAAGGTTCCGCGACTCTTTGCAGAATGCGCGAAACACCCCAAGACCATTAACTGATGCCCATGGCACACACTTGAAGGACCAAAAGGCGGGAGAGAAGACCAGCGGACTAGGGGACCAGCGCAACAGGAGATCAAGCACCTGCGGAACAAAGGACCTGGCCGACTAGGGGATGCTTTTTGATTCTGTCATGTTGTATCGGGCGGGGGTCCTGTTATATAAAGATACAGTATTAAAAAAACAACGTTTATCTTTATCTACATGCCGCGTCCATGCACACAATGAGTGTTTTCTCCGGAAGTCACGGGTGCTTAAGGCGGCCACAACTCCTCTCTTCACCTGCGGAGTCCCAGTAGCTCGAAACTGTAGAATGGAACCAGCACTGTGTCGTCGAGACGGTCCAACGGAGTCCAACGTGTATCCAACACGGAATATCAGGAAGGGGAGAACCACAAATGTTGGCATTGATCACATGATCATGAACTTCAAGCATGAGCCTAAGAACTTCATCTCTTTCGAGCAAAATTTTGCTCCATCACGAGACCCAGATGGGCCTTTGCTTGGAACTGTTGACCAAGGTAGAGATCTTCAAGATTCACTTCAATTTCCTCAGTGAAATGGACAGAGTTGAGAGTTGAGCATGCGCACCTCAACCTGCCAGCAACAACGTGGCTGAATTCATGTGTTAAACTCTGAGGAACTGCCATCTTTATGTACCCTTAGTCAGGTGAAGCACGTCCAAGAGACTGAATTCAAATCACCCGTGGATTCAACCTTGCCCTTCTCGGAATCCTTCACGGCTGCCATGCCACCTGAAAACAATATAAAGAACAGTTTTGCAACTATAAACTATACAATTATACAGTTTTTTCAATTCAATCACGGTCAGTTCACAAAACTGCTGGGAATGTGTATGGACCTTGCCTGTGTCATATAGGATTTTCTTATCGGGATCGTTCAGGATTTCGTATGCGTCCCCTCAGTCCGTCATGTCAACGTGATTATGCTCCTCTCAAAAATGTCTGGTTGCCGCAGCTCAGCACAGCATGCAACATGCCCTGTGTCACTCCACGATTCTTCAGCCGATTTGAGCGCCAACGTGCCGCCAGGAGCAACCGCTACTTTTTCCAATAAGACTCGCTAGGGCCGCTAGGGTTTCAACTGCTTTTCACAGTGGACAGTAGGTGCGGAGAATTATACTATACTATACACGAGTGGTATCGAATTTCACACAGAGAATGTCTGGCTCCCTTCCAGTACCTTTAAAACATTCTGAGTCCTTGCAAGGTCAAAAGCCGTATGACCACGTGCATTTCGAATATGAGGATCGGCCCTGGCTCTCAGGAGAAACTCAGCATATTCATCCCCACCGTACAAGCATGCGAAACCAAGTGGGGTCGTGGTCCATTCCGCAAAGACTTGGGCGAGCAGTGATGAAGACCCAAGACGCATGCGAGCTCTGCTCAGCATTTCAAGAGACCAAAAAACACCTTTTGCCTTAGCCTGCAAATTTACATCAGACCGTGCTTCCAAAAGAAGCCTCGCTGATTCGAGGCAATGTGGATTTACGGCTGACCATCCTGCTAGCGCAGCAAGAGGCTGCGGGCTACAAAAGCCTTTGCTTTCTGGGTTCACCTCTGCCCGGTATTCAATGAGCTTGGAGATGACACTTGCCGGTGAAGACCTTGAACAACAAGCAGTTAATGGAGACACAAATGTGGGGCATGCTCTTTTGTTCACGTCTGCCCGGTGCTGGACCAGCAAGTCCACAAATTCCGGAGTTGCACAATGCGAGAGCGGTGAGAAGCCATGCTGGTTTGCTCTGTTAACATCTGCTCGAAACTGCAGCAATTTTGTCACAACTTCTGGACATCGCCAACCAATCTCAAGAGCAAAGTTGAGAAGAGAGCATCCATTCAAAGGTGCCAGGTCTATTTTGGCATGGACATTTCTGTTCAAATCAAATCCGTAGTTGGCCAGCAATGGAATCATTTCATGATCTCCAGACAGAATTGCGCACTCCAAGGGCCCGATGCCCTTGGTAGCTTTGGCCGATTGCAAAGAGCTGAAGCAAAAGTCCTGAAGAAATTGGTCTAAGCTTCTCTTCGCAGGAGGTAGGCCCAGCAAAGTTTCGCGCCTGGCAACTGTAAACCGATACATGTCCCATTTCCTTGTCTCTTGCAACGAACGCTTTCTGGCACGCAAAGCTTGTCGCATCACACGATCTATCTGAGTACGATCGGTGTTGATAGTAAATTCACCTTCATGAGGAGGACGATCTGCAAGGAACATGGAGGTGCAAAATTCGATTTCATCGATGTCTTTGATGACAAGGAAAGGTTGGTCAGACTTTTCACTTAAAAGCCGGCACCAAATCTCCAATCTGCACCAGCCTCGTGTGAGGTAGCTTCGAAAGTTGCACAACATAGCTGTATCAACATGATATCCTTGTGGCACCAAAGCAATAAAAATGTCAGACAAATCCACGTAGAAGGGGATTGAGCTGATGTAGAGTTCCTGCGTGGTAAGACTTGTGAGACTGCTGGAGCTTCTGCTTGGCTTGGGGTCCGTGCCTTGATCGGCTTCCATTTTTGCAACAGTTTGCGAGATTTCGATGTCTTCAACGGTTTCAATGGCATCCTGCGGGATGCAAAACCAGTCCAACCAAATGTACCCTTCTGCGATTTTCTTCTGCTCGAGGACCGACAGCTGACGCCTGTCACCATGAAACTGGGAGTGTGGGTCGCTGACGGGCTTTGCACGGCCTCTGATGAGGTTTTGGAGTGCTTGCTGAAGCACTTCGAGCTGTCGCAGAGTTGGATCTGGATGTGTGTGTCCAAGCCATTGGTGAGAGACAAACATACAATAGTGAGACTTGCTACGCTTTACTAGAAGCCCTTCCTTTAGAAGTTCTTCGTAGCTTGCCATGCGGTTCAATTTCATAAGATCTGACACCTTCATGACCCACATTGACATTGGGAGAGCCTGAGCGTGCTCCGCAGTCCTCTTTTGGAGATCCAAGTGGCCCACATGGCTTGCGCCATTTCCCATCGCCACTGACTTAGCAAATGGCTCTGGTGGCAGGGAGCAGGTTATGCAAATAGGTAAACAATCATAATATTGTATAACATTGTATAACTAACATGTCTGGCTAACATTGGCTAACCAAGTCTTTGCCGTGTGCATACGAATGTGACCCCGACCTATTGGGATTCGTAAGCGGTGCACTTATACAATCCGCCTCCAGCCGCCCCTGCCCTTGCTTGGGCCTAAACATGCATCAAACAGAAAGCCTCAGAAGGCCATGTCACAGCTGCCTGGACGCATAGTCACAGAACCTTCCAAGATCTGCCATGACACTGCAGCTGGCAAAGTGCCAAGAACTCTCCAGTCAAGAAATTTAGTTTTTTGCAGCGAAGGCTCGGATCTCCGCAAACTTCGCCTTCGACGCTTCATCCGGGTTTTTGTCCGGATGATACCTGTCCGGGTTTTGGATCTCTGCATGCCTGTGTGGCATTGGTCTCAGAACTTCTTTCCGAGCGGCTGAATGGACAATTTTCTATAGACCTGAGGCACAGCTCAGCTGACGATGAGTGATTGTACGATAGAACTTCGCTGTACATTGTACAGGCATAACTTGATGACACATACATCGCCTGAGAACCTGAGCCAGGCCTTTTTGATGGTCGCTTCATCTGAATCTTCTGGAATGCCGAGGACTTCATAAAGATCCTGCAGGAATGCAAGTCTTGCCTCAAAGCCGCTGCCTCAAGCTCTTCAGCTTTTGCAACCTTCACCCACTGCGATTTTTTGTTCCAAGCGGTTCAACTCGAGCAGGTGAATTCGACAACGTCAACGTCTTCACGAAGCCTTTACAGCACTTGCCCCATATTGTTCAAGCCTTGTCCAAATCTACAGCTTCATGGTCAAAAATCCGGTGGAACGTCAGCATCAATCGCCTTATTTCGAGAGGGAAGGCTTGTGCTACAATACATGGCATTTTCCCTGCCCATGCCTGCCAAAATGCTTCTTCGCTGCTGCCACGTTGCTCGCGCGAATTTCGTCTTGAATAGCCTGACTAAAAGTATCAAGTACAAAAACATATACAGTACAAAATTATGCAAACAAAACCCAGCTATGTGAACAAACGACTTCAACGTATTATAGTTACTATAACATACCAAACATGTAGTCATAGGTAGTCCACAGCATTTCAAATGGCGCATCCTGCCTCTAAGCCTCTGCCCTTCAAGCTTTGATGGCTTCGGGTCCTTATCAATCCCTTTCAATCACACAACCAGTGCAATCAACAAACTACCCTTGAAGGTGCAACAAAACAATAACCCAAAGACATGATTTTCGCGTCTCTTTCTGCCATGCTGCTGGTGCAACTAGCCTTGGACAAAATAATGGAAGCAACACTGCTTCTGCAAGGCGTTGCCTCTCATGCTTCATCTGCTTCATTCCCTTGCAAATGAGGCGCTCAAATATACCAGCACTGCCAATGAACAGGTATAGTTTGCCCTTTTCGGCTGTCCACTTGCAGCCGTGATGGCACCTTAAGTGACTGGAGTCATGGAGAATTCCGTAAGGTACAAACATAGCCGAACGTTTGGTGCATGCTTCAAAAAGAAACTGTAGGGATACAGTACCATGTTGTAGAATGTAGAATCAGCGCAAAAGCATGCAAAAGCTATGTGTTGAAGAAGTTGTTGGAGCTTCATACGCAACTCCTTGACAATACATAGGATCACTGTATGAGGCATGCTCGAAGGAAGCGTACAATGAACAACTCAGCGCATGATGGTATTCGTATGCTCACTGTGTAGGTTGTGTCATGAGATTTCTAGAGATTCCAGTACAATACATTCAACAAAAGTGCAAAAACACATGATATTGTCTCTGGAAAAAATCATCTCTTGAGCAGATCGTGGCTAGCTGTTATTGCTCCGGGATGAACAGGCGCAATAAGTGGATTCTGCCTGGACAAATTCTGCCATCAAAAGTTGTTCTGTCCAACCTGCCTGCTTTCAGTTCAAACAGGTCACGTGCAACTCCACATACTTACACATTGAGCCCACTATAACATTGGCTCAATACCATTTCAATGAACCGCTCATGATAGCAAAATTACAAAACATATGCAACAAAAAAACACTCAGAGTCAAAGTTTAGTTTCACGGATTTCATAGCGCGAAGGGAAGTGTGACGGAATGATTGATGCCAAACAAAGACGGTCGAGCTACTTTGCCACCATACCGACACCACCAAGGATGGTAGGGCTTCTGCCCTCAAATGGCTGATGAGAGCACTGCTCCATGGCTTACAGTACATTTAAGGTGTCTTCGGTTGTCTTCCTATTGTAGCTGCAACAGTTCCATGTGGCTGCTGGGGCCCCAATCCCACACTGTGAGTCTGATAGCCTTGCATGCCATGGCAACGCTGCCACTGGGCGACTACAATTATACACTCACTGCTCATACTACGACTCTTGCTGTCCTCTAAAGCCTGCCTTTGCGCCCCTCCCCCAAACTCGATACCCTATTAACTCACTATGTTAACACACCAGCTTATAACTTAATAAAAACATAGAAACTGTTGCCAAATGCAAGAAGGTCTCTGCTGGATGGGCGCTTCAATCTCTTGATCGCGTGTCAGTTTGAGTGTAAAGCCATCGTTGTTCCACTCCCACTCCTGGGGCTCTGCAAATAAAGAAAGTTCAAGCTAAAGTTGCATTGAAAGAAGCAGGCATGTCATATTTGTCAAAGGGTTTCTGTGTTGTAGCTGCTATATAACTCTAAGACAGGCCACAGTGCCCTTCAACCAGGACATGGACTTGGACACCTGCATCTCAAAGAGTCCCAAATGCAGCGTGACAAGAAGCCATGCTGCACCTCATCCGATACACCTGCAGGCCACTCTACAGGATCAGGACCTCGTCTGCCTGGGAAAGACTTGTGACATTCATCAGTAGGGTGTCAATGCAATACCCCCCAGCGTTTGCAAGCGAATGGCTCTGAACACTCTGACAAACCACTTAGTGCCTCCACCCATCTCGAAATGAAATGCTTGTCCACCTGGCAGGTGTATGCAAGCATGCACGGCAGCATAGCACGCATGACATTGGCAAAAGGGCATACTTTCTGCAGCTATTGTTGGGCTGTTCGGAGCTTCACTGACCTTGGCGAATTCCTGCAGGTGTTCCCCGCTCCGTTGAGGTTCATCCATTGGAGCGCATGCAAATGACACCTGCCTCCCCCCAAAAAGCTCCTCGAAGAACGCGAGGGTTGGTGTTGACCACAACCTCAACACTCAAGACATTCATTTGCAGGAAGTTGCTGCAGGTTCAAATTTATTCAGGTTTCCATCCCCGGTGTGCGTGCCAAAAGGTTTAGTTTTTTCTTGCTATAGTTGACCCACAACCACCACGTCACACCCCTCTGTTGGAGGTCCCAGGTGGCAGCGTGGTCGCATAAGTGCCCAAAGCACTCATTGGAGTATACAAGCAGCCATTCGACTGCGCGCTGTACAAAAATCTCCACTTGCAGAGGGGCTTGGCGTTCTCGGTCGGTGTTGAAGGTTGGTAGTGATGAACTTCAAGACTTCGTGTGGCATCGTCTGCAAGCAAATGTCGTAGACATGGTCTCCATTGGCGTTTCGGATGTTTGTATCGGCTTTGGCTTCAAGAAGCCGCTGAAAAGATGCAACGTTTCCGCGCGCAGCAGCACAAATCAACGGCGTACCGCCATGCATGAATTGAATATCTTGATATAAGCTCCGATTCCAGTGCGTAGCAAGGAAATGGTACAATCCGAACTTCGCCATGTACTTGTAGCCCATCCTGAAGAAGCCTTGTTGGTTGATATCCAAGCCCTGATTGAGGAGGAGCTCGACAGAATCACCAGTGCTCAGGGTAGCATGAAGATGAAGCAAGGAATATCCGTCAAAGAATGAACACAAAACATCTGCATTGTGATCAAGGAGCGGCTCAACAAAATCGTGACAATCAAGCGTCACCGCACAGCAAAGAGGTGTCAGGCCAACATATGTCTTGGCATTTAGGTCAGCTTTCAGCCTGATCAATGTGTGCAAACCGACTTCGTTTGATGCCTCGCAACTGAGCATGAGAGGTGTCCAGCCATTATCTGCTTTTGCATTGACATCAGCAAAGGCACCAATGAGAAGCTCAGCAATATCGACCCTGGATGAAAACATCGACCAAACATGCAAAGGGGAAAGACGGGCCCGAAGGAAATAATCGGGCTCGGCCCGGCAGGTTTGTGCATTGACATCTGCCTTCGCTTTCAGCAACTGGTGGACAAAGTCAAGGCTGCTGCGAGACACTGCGCAATGAAGGTCTGTCCATCCGTTAGACCAAGGCCTTCTATATGCCAACAATGATCGAGTGTCTGATAAACGGGCTAAGCGAGCCTGGGGAGCTTTTGGAGTGGGCTCTCCAGGAAACTGCAGCAGCCTGACAAAAATAGCTTGCAAGAGTTGCTCTTCATGGTGGTTTCCTTCAGCACGAAGCTTCGCAGCTTTTTGTTGCGCCACCTCTCTCAAAGTACGCGCAATGTGCTGCCGATCTTCTTCAACTGTGAACTCTGCAAGACAAGGCGCGAGCTGACAGAACACTCGGTGGAACAAATGCATCACTGAACCCTTTGAAGAGACAAGAAGAACAGGCTTTGTTCCAGCTAGCATTGCCGTAGCCAGCTCAAATTGACACCACCCGCGGCTTCTCCACGATCGGTATGATAGAAGCTGTGCCGATTCATGATGATGCTGAGTTGGAGCGAGAATTGTAAAGCAGGAAGATCTCCCAACATATGCATGTAAGCTCATTATCGCATCCAATTGAGCAGCTTTGGTCGCAACCCTTTCTGGCTCTGTTTGACAGCATGAAACCTGTGGGACACAAGCGAAGTCAATCCAGATCCAGCCATTTGCAGCAGCGGCCAAATATTCAGGTGACACATCACGAATCATGCGGCCCCAAACAAAGTTGCCCTCACGTGTCACCTTGACACAGCCGTTGCGTATAGATTGAATTGTGTCCTGCAAGGTTGTAAGTTGGTGCTTGTTGGGATCTGGGTGGTCGGTAGCTGCCCACTGATGTGACACGAAGGTCACAAATCCCTTTCCATCATGCCTGTGAAGCTGTCCTGTCAGGAGAAGCTCCTGGTGAGGCTTCATTTCCGAGAGCTTCAGGATTTCGTCAGTGTGAATGACCCACATGGGAAATCGTGCAGCCCTTGAGAGAAGGTCCTTCGAGATGTTACCTCTTTCCTGCTCATCATCTCTGCTACAACCACATAATACCCCACAGCCGCACAAAGGCATACTGAACCAGGCTTTTCAAATGGCAAATAATTCTGAATTAGAGCCAACTGCGCTCGTGTGACGGGTAAAGCTCGCACAATATTCTTAAACCGCTGATAGTTTTGTGACGACAAATGTGACACATCGAATCTAACACACCTCAACAGCCTCAAGACAAAGTGATCCCACGCGTGTGCCATGTGTGTCCTTCTCAAACTTGTCATCGGAGATGACTGCACAATAGAGTATGCTACTTCATGGTTGTGCCTTGTATATGAAAATACCAAAAAATACATATAGTATCATATAATAGTATAAGGAATGTCGCAAGGAAGGGTCAGCTAGATCATTGTCAATGTGACAAACTCCAAGAGCCTGACAGGCAAAGGAGGACACTTCTCAGTCTGTGATGGGCCTCGGAACCAGTGCAGCTTTGACATGTTCTGAACAAATTCAGCGCAGTGAGTTATAACAGAAATTCAGTTCTCACAGAGGCTCAGTTGTAAGTGAGAAGCTGCCAATTCAGCAATCCCCACAGCCATGGCTAAGCAATGTGAAAAAGCCTGTGCTTTGAAGCCTGCCATAATCCGAGTAAACACGCTCGAAAGCTCTGTAGCCTCAAGACATCTGACGGTGTTACACTAAGTGGTATGTGTGCCCACATTATTTGGCAACATGTCTTCTTTTGATGTTTGCTTCCCTGAGAGGGTGGCGTGGCACCAACAAGGAGGCAACTGATTGTGATATTTGCAATTGGTTGTTTGCCAGCATATTGATGCTTGGTCCAAAATTGTCTCACAGTGAGGATCAACTCTATATAACTCTATTACCAGTCAACTTTCATTATGAACTTGTCATGGTCAGAATCACAGCCTTGCTGCAGCAAGCCATCCGATAGAATATATAGACTTATAGACCGTTCCAGAATTATATGGGGCTCCAGCGTCGGCTTCGCACGGCACCTCTCTCAAGCGGGTCTCTTTCCAGGTTGGCAAAAGAAACACCAACAATCAATGCACCGTCTAGAATACAGAGCGCCAAGAAAAATGGCAATCTTCCGAACGAGAAACACGCGCAAAAAACACAGCGAATCCGAATCCAACACCTTGCTTTGTAGCTGCCTGCGAAAGACGGCCACTGAGCGATGCAGCACGACCGAATTCTACTTTTCCAGATTGGTTAGTTGACCAGTCGTGTGACAAACATGAAAGCCTCTTGCTCTTCTAACTCGCGCTGCCGTTCTTCGGCAGCTTGCTTGGCTTCAAGTTCCTCGGCTTTTTGTTGATGCCTCAGAAAGCACGGCCGAATTTCCAAAGTTCACAAAGGCATACAAAGGCAGTTACAAAGGCTAGTATGGCTATGAGGACAGGACCACTGGACCAATCTCTCTCTTTGTTTTTCTCGGTAATGTGCTTCGCGCAATCGCCTGTTACTGGACGAGAAGGACATTTCATGAAATATATAATATAGTACTATCGAACAGCTTGTTCCCTGCTAGTTGTTTGCCTGCGTGCTTCTTCCTCCTTTTGTAGCCTCTCCTCTTCCTGCACGTGACATCTATCATCTAAGGCCAACTTGCCCAACATATCATGCACGCTTTCTGACTTCTCCAGTACCTTTGACACAATGTATCGCTTGGCCACACCTGTGACTTTTCAAAGGCTTGTTGATTCTTCTTCTCCGCCCAGTCCTGGGCCATTTGTATCATGTGTCTGCTTGAGGTGCTGTAACCTTGAATAGTTGGTAGAGAGCCCCACCCGCAAAGCCAAACGAAACGCAATGGAGACTTGTGTCAAGAAATAAGACACACTTGCTAACTGCTAACCCATACTAACCCTCAGGCCTTTCTGATATATATATATATTGTATATACATTCCGTTCTGATATCCCTGAACTACTGATACGCTTACCTCTCTCACACTCCCTGATGTTCATGTTGCTTTACTCCGCACACTGGACACACAAAAAGACCTTCATCTGCTAGGCGCTGCTTTTCCATCTTTTGAATCAATGCCATGGTGCAATCTTCGCACCAGTGCAGCCGTTTTTTCCAATTTGGACAGAGCCAGCCAGGGAGTCTAAGAATCCCAAAGGCCGAAAACAGGACTCAGGAACTGAGGAAACCAAGGAAACTTACCAAACGCTGACAGTTGCATCTCGTTTGGCTGGCTCACTGGCCTTTTCAGCCGTGGCATGCGAAAGGTCAAAGTCCTGGGGATTTTGGTAGGTGCGGGACGAAAAAGCAAAAAGAAGGTTACAAAAGCCCCAGGTCTTCGGTGTTTTCATTCCCAAGTTCAACATGATCTTCATGCACCTTCTTCTTGAGATTGCTTCATTCATGGCTTGAATTTAATTGGTTTAAAGAGACCAGTTAGAACCACTTGCGATTCAAGGAGCAATGGTAAGGTCTTCCGGATCGAAGCTGCAGCCAGGAGCGCATTCAATCGCCGGGCTCTTTGCTGAAAAGGAATCTGGCCAAAACTCGGCTGAATCCTTCTGCCCTCAAATCAGGACTGGCTGTCTTGTGCAAAACAAAGCAACGCACATGCAGGAGTCGTGGTATCTTTCTGAAAATGCCCAGGTTCTTGACTTTCGACGTCACACAAAGATATCCAAGCTTCTTCAAACGTTTGGTGCGAGCCAGTGCGAGCCTCGTGGGATCACTCCCATGACTTTCAGCGCTTCTGCCACGAGCTGTGAACAAAAAAAGTCCTGCGCAAGGAAACCACTA